AAGCAAGCGACACCGCTGAAGCTAGAACAGGTTCAGTGGCTAGAGCACATGGCCAGGAATGCAGAGGATGCCTATGAGCAGCTTCTTGCAGCTTCCTTCCTGCTCATGCTATATGCGAGAGCACGTCACAGTGATATCCGCAGGGCTGGAGCCATCATCATTGATGCAGGCACTGATTTCATCACAGGCTTCGTTGAACTGACGGTCAGAGAACCCAAACAGTCCAAAGCAGCGCGCAGGAAAAGATTGATGCTACCCGTGGTTGCCCCCATGATGGGAGTGGGATCCAGGCCATGGGCGTCGGCGTGGCAATCGTGCAGGAAATCATGGAAGCTAGCGCACACAGGTGACATATCAGACAGCCCGTTGCTGCCTGACCTAGCTGCTGATGGTTCTCTGCTCCCATGCTGCATGAGCACGGCCAGGGCCAGCAGTTGGCTCAGGGCCCTGTTGGCCAGGCAGCCACAGGCTAACGTGGATGACCTCTTGGGCGTCACGACACACAGCTTGAAAGCAACTCTTTTGTCCTGGGCTGCTAAGGCTAGCATGGATACCTTGGAGCGTACAATCCTAGGTTATCATAGTACAGGTGTCAACTGTTCAACCCTCAGCTACAGCAGGGACGCGATGGCAGGCCCTCTCAGGAGTTTGCAGGGCTTACTCAGGAACATCCGCGTTGGCAAGTTCAATCCAGATGACACCAGGTCAGGGAGATGGACTTTGTCAGAGGCTTCCTCAGGATCTTCAGGAGAGCCCAGGAGCGCTTCTTCTTCAAGTAGTGACGCAGAAGAAACAGAGCAGGTCATCCAGGGAGCCAGTCACCTGTTTGCCATGCTAGCTTCTACAGGCGATTACAGCCTGGTCAAGAATCCCAGATCAGGACTCCATCATGTCCTGAAAGCAGGGCGCGAGAGGCTTCTGTGCGGGCGCACCCTTTTCAAAAGTCTTGTGCAGGCACAGGAAGTAGATTTCAGTCAGGCTCAGGTCTGCTTGACCTGTCAGTCCGTTTGTTCAGGCTTGTTAGACGACAAATGGGCATCCAAGCCTATTCAGTTGTGAGCCCAGGAGGGGGACTCGTACATAATCATTCAGGCCACACAGGCCGGAAGTTTTGGTCAGCAGGCAATCCGGAGACCAGGCACTGCCAGGAACTCCAGGGAACAGATGGCACAGAGGACTCAGATCCCCACGTGTGAAAAAGACTCGGTCCGAGTGTGTGCATGCATTTCCCGTAAAGGAATCATGTTTTAAGGCTTAGGATTTAGGTTTTAGGGCTGCGGGTTTCGAGTTTACGGTTCAGGGTTTAGGGTTCAGGAGTAGCTAGAGTTGGAAGCTATCAAGGCTTTGGTATCTCATATAACATTCTCACCCGTTGTTCTTCCTTCACTAGCTACCTGCGTTTCACATTTATATTTGTTTCTAATATTGAACACACCCGTGTCAGGAGCCTCCAGAAACCTCTCACCAGCCTTCAGGCCCGTGAAGAGAGAGGGGTCAGTAAGAGAAACTCTAATGCTAACGTCTTGAATTTTTCAATGGAGGGTCTCCACAGGTCTTCAGGGGCCTCTGAGGGGCCCCTTACCGCCTCTAGGGTCAAAGCCTCCAGTGTGGCTTGGGTCTAAACCCTAAACCCTAAACCCCAGGTTCGTGAGGCCCCTGAAGGGGTTTCCAGAGGAGAGGGGCTTCCGGAGCCCTGGAGGCCTCCTGGGACATTCCCCAAACCCAAACCCTAATTGATCAAAATAAATGTACGGCCGTATTAAGGCTCGAATACGTATAGGTAGAGAGGATTAAGGATTCCTGTTATTGCTTTCTTACCCTATGACATGTGTTGTTTTATTAGTATCATTAAGTAATCAGTATTTTTGCTTTTTATTGGAATTATTACTTTTCTTCTTACTACTAGAATGTTACTATTATTCCTACTATTGCTAGTATTTCTATTGTTGCGATTATTCGGAATATTTCCATTTCTTATTATTGTTGCTGTTCTTGACTTTTTTTTGTTACTATTGCTACTGCCGTTCTAAGACTTTGGACTTCTACACGGAAGGGCCCTGTAGAAGTGCAAGTCCAGGAGGCAGTCGGAACTTCATGATTCCACAAAGGGGCCCCGCATATGGGCCCTTAGACCGTTCAGGGAGATTCTACTAGGGACGCTTAGGGGTAAAACCCCCCCCGCCCCCCCCTCACCCCCAACCCTCAATCCTGAACTCTAAACCTCTGAGCCCTGAGCCCGAAACCCCTAAACCCTAAACCTGAAACACCCAAAGCCTAAAACCCCAAGAACCCCATACCGCCTGAACCCTAAACATAACCCTAAACACCCTAAACCCTGAACCCCTAAACTCTACACACCTTAAACCCTAAACATTAAGCCCTTAAAATAACCCTAAACCCTAGACCCTAAACCCTAAATGGGTCCCCCTTAACACCCTAAACGCTTGGAGTTTGTTTCGCTAAGTTTTGCGAGCTTTGGCCTCGGGCCAGAGGTGATGGAGGCCTGGGAGCACAGAAGTTGGTTGTCCTGCGTGGTTTCAGGGGTTTAGGGGTTTTGGGGGTTTAGGGGTTTCAGGGGTTTAGGGGTTTCAAGGGTTTAGGGGTTTAAGGAGTTAGGGGGTCAGGATTTAGGTTCTAGGGTTTAGGATTTAGGGTTTAGGGGTTTGGGTTTAGGGCTTCGGGGTTTAGGGTTTAGGGGGTTTCCGAAGAAGACAGGGGTCCTCTGTTTGGGGGGCCTCTATAATGAGGAATAGGAAGCTCCATGTAATTTCTCCAAAAGGTTTACTTTGGAAACTGCAGAAACCCAAGAAATCTTGCACCGCCTATGATCCCCAATGCATTTTCAATTCCTAGGACATAAGATATAGAGGTTGGTGCAAGATTTCCTCCAGCCCCAGTAGGGATACATGCGTATACATGAGGACTATGAGGAGATCATGGGACCATCTTATTCAAGTTTGTATGAGGGCAAGGGGTTTAGGGATTTAGGGGAGTAAGTCGCTGTGCAGACACATCTCGACAGCCAGGGCATCAACAGCTTGGGGTACGTGAGACCGTCCGTCATCCAGGCTTGCATGGGAAGCTGAGAGACATTCTCAGCCGTCATCCGTGTGGGAGTGTCCAACATTGCAGTTCCTGGTATATGCCCTAATGAGATAGTGTCATTCTCATTATAGGGATCCATGTTTCTTGGTGAACTTCCATTTGACTGAGATTACCTTCAGATGTGCTGGTGTCAGTAGCCGCAGGCGCACACTCTGCCGCGGATACTGGGTGAGAAAGGTCAAGGTGGAAAGAGCCTTCAGGCGCAGGTGCGCTGGTCCAGCTTCTCAGTGCATTTGGTCCTTTTAGGAAAGGATTTTCCTTTTAGCGAAATGCTTTCTGAATGATGCCTTCTTGAAAATGGACCTTAAGAGCAACCCGAATTTATCGGAACATCCATGGGAAGTATAGTCCCCCTTGAGTACATAGAATATGGCTATGGGTACATTATAATAACATCCCTATATACCCATATTCTATCTACTTGAGAAAAACTATAGGCTGCTGGTTATTATGCCATAGGTCTCCTATCATCAGCACGGAGAATGCTGATGGAGGGGTTACCTAGGGGTTATATAAGGTCATACAGGCCCAATAATCGAAATCACATGGAATAAAGGGAAATGACATGGAAACTGCCTAAATCCTAATCCCTTAGCCCTAAACCATTTTCCAGGCGCAAAACGGATCTGGAAAGACTGCTTGCTTCAGCATTGCGGTTCTGCACGCGCTTGACATCTCTGTCCAAGCCTCAGAGAAGAGTTTGCAAGAGGTTTGGGGTTAGGGTTATATAGGGGTTAGGGTTATATATGGGTTATATAGGGATAATGGAAAAGAAAACGGAAAGTATTATAGCAGGGTTTTACAGGTTTGGGGTGTAGGGTTTAATGTACCTCCCTGGTTGTTAGTAGGGAATGAACCCTAAACCTTATAGTCCCCCTTAAGTAGATAGAATACGGGATATGTGGGGGCCTTTTTATAATATACCCAAAGCCATATTCTATCTACTTAAGAGGGACTATATACACAGGAACTGCTATAGGGATCCATTCATTCCATACCAAGCGCCAGTTAGACAAGAGTGACAGTGGAATGGCAAGTTGAGCAGGTGCTGCAGCCGCAGGCAATCATTTTATGCCAGCTTCTCAGCATTGCTGTGACTGTCTTATCGGTGGTTAGTAGGGAATAAGGGACTATATCATATAGAGATTCTAAAGGGCTTATATTCCCGTATTCCCTGCTAACTACCAGTGCGATATTTCTGACACCAAGTCCTTGTTTGCACCCTGCAAGTCCTACCAGGTCCAACGAGAGAGCTCGCGCGGCAAAACCATGACTTCCTCAACCTTATCGGGTGTTTCTGGCATGCTTCAGATGCACGTGTGACAGGCTTGAACTCTTATTACTATGATTGCTATTATTGTTTTAGCCATTACTCCTTTCATTATTTCTAGTATTATTGCTTGAATGGGGATCATTCACATGCCCCGCATTTGAGTGTCCATGCGTGGTGCAGGTTTGGGCTGCGCCTAAAGACAAAGCTCGTGTGCCCTGGAATGGAGCGCAAGCTGTGTTCACTGCTTTTTTACATGTACTATTATTATTGCTGCTGCTGCTGCTACTACTACTACTACTACTACTATTCTTATTCTTATTGCCCCCAATATAACAGCTCTAATACATACCGCATTATAGTAGTTTCCATTTCATTTTCCATTATCCTTATATAGTCCCGATAGAGCCCCAATATAACCCATAATAGCCTTAATATATACACCATTTTAGTAGTTTCCAATCTTATTGGGCTTTCGACCACAAAGCCCTAAACCCAAAACCCTAAACCCAAAACCCTAAACCCTAAACCCCAAAACCCTAAACCCTAAACCCTAAACCCTAAAGCCTCGGTCACTCCCAGACCTGGAGGAGCGCGTTCCGACCGGCAGCACGATAGACGTCCATGTCCTCATCGGCACGCCTGGCAAAATGATGGACAAGTGGGGTTTCGAGGGCGGTTATAGGTTATATATATATATATATGTATATATATATAGATATATAGGGGTCATAGGGATAATGGAGAAGAAAATGGAAACTACTACTTAGGGTGTAGGGTTTAGGGCAGTGCTTGCAGCTGAAAAGCTCTGAAGCAGCCTTTCACTGAATTTTTAGTAATGACAATACTAGTAGTTATAGTAGAAGCAGAACAATAGTAATAATAGTAGGAAGAATAGTAATAATAGTAGGAACAATAGTAATAATAGTAGGAATGAAAGTAATAATAGTATGAGTTTAGGGTTTAGGGTCTAGGGTTTGGGTAGAAATGATGGTAATGAGCTGCGTGCCGCCCCGCAGGACATGTGCAAGAAGAGGTTCGCCTATGTCAGGGAGCTAAAGGTCTTAGTGCTTGATGAAGCCGACGTGATGTTGGACCAGGATGCGGAGCCCGCAATTAGTACTATTCTTGCTTGCTTTTCCTATTATTTCTATTGCTGGTATCATTACTATATTAATATTATTGCTATTATCATGATCATTATTTAGCCCCAATATACTATATGGTAGTTTCCATTTTCTTTTACATTATCCCTATGTAACCCCTATATAGTACCCTAAACCCTTACCCCTACACCCTAACCCCTGAACCCTAAACTCCAAGCCCCTAAACCCTAAGCGGCACGGCCTGAGATCATTCGACCTGCAGGAAAACTTTATGGGCAATCATGTCATGGACGTGAGGAAGCACTGTCCAGAAAACGTCCAGGCTGGCCTGTATAGTACGTTGGGGTTATATGGGGATAATGGAAAAGAAAATGGAAACTGCTATATAGTATATTGGGGTTATATAGGGATCATGGAAAAGAACATGGAAACTGAATCAAGTGGTTGGGTTTGTTTCGCGTGTTGATCGCCAATCTCTTGAAGCAGGAAAGATCTCTGTCTGTGGGCAGCTGGATTGCAGCCATCAACTGGAGACAAAGTCGGACTAGAATTCCCTCAAACCCTAAACCCTCAACCCTCAAACCCTAAACCCTAAACCATTAACCCTTATCCCTAGTAGGATGCCTAGGGCAGCTTTGCTGTGAGAAGTAAATTTCTTTGTGGCAGATCCTCTTCTTCAGCGCCACGTACCCGGATCATGTGCAAATCTTCGCGCGCAACCTGCTTGCCAGCAAGACCGTGATCAAGGTGGGGGTTTTACTGGGGGTTCCCGGAATTAGGGGTATCATTTTGTGCGTCCCCATAGTAAGTATTATAGTAAGTATTTAGGGTCTGCAGTGAGATCCCTCTAGTTTGGGAAGCTACCGTCTAGGGATTGGGGCTTGGGTTTCGAGACAAGGGGAATTCGGAAAGACGGATTTTCGCAGGGGATGCGGTCAGTGACATGTTGCTCTAGCTGCATGGCCTTCAGGCCTAGTGTGGCAGCCAGGATTTTCGAGCAGCCCTAAACCCTAAACCCTAAACCCTAAATCCCAAACCCTACCTAATCCTAAACTGCCACCTTACTTCGAGTGTCAAGGTCTCGAAAGAGGCCCTGACAGTCGCTACAATCCAGTGGGCATCTCAGCACGCCGCACGACATTAACGAAAAATAGTCATGATAATAATACTAATAATTATAGTAATGATAATAATAATCTGGAGAAGAATGATAGTAATAATAATAGTAACACGGATAATAATGAAATTAGTGATGTTAATCGTAACAATGAAAATAGCAAAAACTCACCAGTAGTAATAACAATAATGACAACAACATCAAAATCTCAATATTCATAGTAATAATAACAATGGTATTCAGAACAACACTCTTCTGGGAAGCAGGGGATGAAGGTCGACTGGCATCTTGAGATGAAGCTTTCAAGGGCTTGTGCCTAAACCCTAAAACCTAAACCCTAACGCCTAAAGCCTAAACCCTAAGACCCTAAAACCCTAAAGCCTAAAACCCTAAAACCCTAAACCCCTAAACCCCTAGACCCTAAACCCCCAAACCCAAGGTTTTTGCCAAGCCTGGGGGTATGATGTACCTAAACCCTAAACTCTAAACCCTAAACCCTAGGTGTGTGTGTTATTTGGGCTTGGGGCTGGTGGTTCCGGCATCCAAGCCTGTGATCCTGCTGCCACAGGTTGCTGAGAGATTCAGCGTCCCTACATACTCCTATATAACCCATTATAGTAGTTTCCATTTCATTTTCCATTATCCCAATATCAAGCAACATCACTTCAGTAGAATAGGATTTAGGGCTTAGGACTTTGGGTTTAGGAGCTTGTTATAGCCTGAGGCAGACGTACAAGGTCTGCGCGGATGAGAGCGACAAGTTTGAGCAGTTGATGAACGCCCACCCATCCTGTTTGAGTCGCCAAGACAAAGAGCACCGAACCCCCCTATGTATCCCCTATTATACCATAGTAGTTTCCATTTCCTTTTCCATTCTCCCTATATAGCCCCTATATATCCCCTATCATATTATAGTCGTTGTCATTTTCTTCTCCATTTTCCCCATATATCCCCTATATAATCCCTATATATTATGGTAGTTTCCATTTTCTTTTCCATTATCCCTATATAACCCCTATATAACCCATCTATCTATATATATCTTGCTTGGTGCCTGACAGATCTTCGGTTCTCTGAGCATGGGTCAGAGTATCGTCTTCTTCAACTCGAGGAGGAAGGCTGGAAACCGATGCAGTCGGCCTTTTCTTGGTAACCGGGGATCGTATATGAGCCATAGTCTAAACTCCTTCAAGGAGGTTATATGGGGGGATTATATAGGGGACTGCTATAGGGGTGATTAAGGGGGATACTAGGAGTTTAGACTATGGCTCATATGGCAATTTAGGTTTATGTAGGGATACTGGAAAAGAAAATGGAAACTACTATAGTATATAGGGGTTATGTGTTGGGATAATGGAAACGAAAATGGATACTACTATAGTATGATAGGGGTTATGGAAACTACTATGTTGTAATAGGGGATATATTGCTTTTGCGCGGTGCTGAGCGCTGGCTGTAGAGTACGCTTTGCACTCAGACGTCAATGAGGTTCCGCTCCAATCAGTCATTGCATTAGAACCACGGGATTCACAGAATATTGAGATTTATATATCCCATTATAGTAGTTTCCATCTTCTTTTCCATTATCCCCATATAACCCTAATATTACCCTAATATTACCCCAATGGGTACCTATATCTTCCATTGTTCTCCTGACCTGTTGCGTTCCATCGACAGCCCACTCTCTGCCATGGCGGACGACCTTCTGCAGTTGTCCATTCGATCCCAGTACGGGCTCTCGATGCTCGGATGCTTTAGTGTGAGATTGGTGCTCCATTTCCCTACCCATTGGGGTAATATTAGGATTACATTGGGGATGATATGGGGATAGCGGAAAAGAACATGGAAACTACAATTTATTGTTAAGGGTTTAGGGTTGGTAGGGAATAAGGGAATACATATATTTATAGGTTCCCTACTAACCGTACACCCTGAACAGTAGTTTCCATTTTCTTTTCCATTTTCCCTATGAAGCCCAAGATGATACCCCCTTTTTTCCTCTAACCCCAAACCCCGAACCCTATATTATATCATGCTCCTATATTTCATTATTCCCGACTAACTTAAAAGAGCCTGGCAGTCCAGGTTTCGCAAGTTTGACTCCACGGACTTTGCCGCCAATAAAATCGCTGCAGTGACTGCCTCAATTGCGCTTGGCAGAATCGTTGTGCGGGCTTTGTCGGCATGTTCAAGATACTGTTCAATTTTTTGTGCTCAACCGCTTCTTTGTCGTACACAGACGTGTGGCATCCATGGCGAACGCCGCAGGGCAATTTTGCACATCTTGAGCACGTCAGGGCTTCGTGTTCGCTTTGCTCAACTTCACAGTGATACCAAACTGTAGCTTGTACATCACTGTAATGCACCTTTGGAGAACCACCCCTGGATCAATGTTGCTAGATGTATAAACCCAATATACTATATAGTAGTTTCCATTTTCTTTTCCATTGTCCCTATATAATCCTATAACCCCTGTAGTTTCCATTTGCTTTTCCATTATCCACGCCTACTATTCCAACTTGCTGAGGTGACCAACAAGGAAAAGGGGCCACTCCCTCAGTGGGTTTAGGGTTTAGGGCTGAGGGTTTAGGGTTTAGGGGTTTGGAGAAGAACATGGAAACTACTACAGGAAATTGGTGTTATATAGGGAATAATGGAAAAGAAAATGGAAACTACTATAGTATTTTGGGGTTATATTGGTGTTATATTGGAGAGTGTAGCCCGTTTGCCAAAGTCATTGTGCTGCCAGAAGCTTTGTGTGCTAGACAGATCTCTTGGAGAACCGAGCTACGGTGGATGCAGGAAAGCAACCCTAAACCCTAAATAGAAGTTTCCATTTTAGTTCCATGATCCCAATATAACCACAATATATACTATACTGTGCCGGGCCGAAAAGTTCGACCCACTCTCAATTTCAAGAAAACTTGTCCCACTCAGTCCGAGATGCAGCCCCTTTCCCCCGTAGACTCCTAACACTGGGGCTTGGGGCCTCCACCGGAACTAAATAGCGTTATATTTTTACAACGGGATATTAATTACTCCGCTAGCAGGGCCAGTGAAAACGGCATGTCGGGCCCCTCCGCTACTCTGTAAGATCCTAGTATGTTAGTACACACGCTCGAAGGCTCGGTAGCTCAGAACTTTCGGCCCGCTGATGTATAGTAGTTTCCATTTTCTGTTCCACGATCCCACCAGAACCCATGATTAGGGTTATACAGGGTGGCGCAAGACTTCCTCCATCCACAGTAGCAACAAGTCGGGAGAGCACAAGTCTGCCAGATGGAATAATAGAAATTTCGAAGATAATAACAATAACAAGAATTAGAATAATAATCGCTTCTGCCGAATGATAAACGATGTCCCCCCCCCACTGATAATAAAAATCCGGGGGCAGAAATTATTCACTATTAGAGTGGGATATTTATTGAAAGACTTTGGTAGGGCTGCCTTTTAAATTCCTTCAAAAATAATTCAAGGTAACTTAAAACTAAGGAATAATTCATTAAATGAAATAATCGAATCAATTAAAGAGTAGTCAGCCAATTAATTAATCAAAATCAATTGAAACCGAATTAAACTCCCGTTAGAATCAATTGAAACTTAATTAAAGTTCCTTCCCAAAAGATCAATTGAAATCGAATTAAAATCCGGTTAAAATCATTTGAAATTACATTACAATTCCTGTTAAAATCAGTTGAGATCGAATTCAAATCCCGTTAAAATCAATTGAAATCGAATTAAATCCTGTTAAAATCAATTGAATTCGAATAAACATCCCGTTAGAATCAATTGATATTTATTTAAAATCAAGTTAAAAACCCGTTTAAAATCAATTGAGATCGAATTAAAATCCCGTTAAAACCAATTGGAATGTAATTAAAATTCCTTTCAAAATCAATTGAAATCGAATTGAAATCCTGTTCGAATCAGTTGACATGCAATTAAAATGATTTAAAGATCAATTGATATCGAATTAAAATCCCGTTAGAATAAATTGAAATCTAATTAAAATTCCTGTTAAAATCAATTGAAATCGAATCAAAGTCTCGTTAAAATCAATTGAAATGTAATTAGAATTCCCTTTAAAATGACATGGAACCGAGTAAAATCCATTTAAGATGAATTGAAATCGAATGAAACTCAATTGAGATTTCATTAGATACGGCTAGCCAAGTAATAAAATCAATTAAACTCGCATTCAGTTCTTGTATATCTAATCCTTTATAAAACCATATGAAAATCAACCAAAACCAATGATGTGAAGGGGATCCCTCATTCCTTTGAATTTTCCACTTTCCCCCCTATGACCTCAAAACCACCCCCTAATTCATCAGGGTCTGACTCCTTTTTAAAAGTAGTACAGCCCCTTTTAAAATGCTCATGAGGATTTTTTAGAGTCCTGGATCTATTATTTGTTATTAGGGCGGTTTTATTAATAGCGGGAAGTGATTAATAGTGATAATATTCATAATAAAGAATTATAACAAAAATGCAACAACTGTTGCTATTATTAAGTAGTTAATAAGCCCTAAAACGCTGTCAGGCTTGGGCAGCCGCGTCTTTCAAAAGCTACCTGTACGCAAGCCTTTGGCCTCCGGGAGGGATCGTAGTGAGCTAAACTCTTACTTACATGAGTAGATTAGGGTTTAGGGCTTAGGGTTCAGGGTTTGGGTTAAGGGCTGTTTAGGGTTTAGTGTTTAGGGCTTAGGGTTTACAGTAATTCAGGGTTTCGGGCGCAGGGTTTAGGGTATAGGGTAGTGGATTTTTTAGTATCCCCAGCCCCTATTAAAGTGGGAGCCTATCATAGGCATACGAGAGTTCTAGGGTCCTTGTCATAGGGGCTGGGGTCGCTGCAATCTCCCTGTTGCAATTCAGGGATGGTTGCGCCTGATATCAGTACCTCCCCTAGTAAACCATACAAACCCTATAAACACTATAAACCCTGTAAACCCTATAAGCCCTGTAACACTGTAAGCCCTAAAAGCCTTCTAAGCCCTATATAAGCCTTACATCCCCTGAGCTCCCCGTGAGGGGAGCTTAGCAGGAAGTGGGGATGTTGCAAAATTGCTCCACGAGAATCCTGATTAGGGCTGCTGTTAAGGAATTTAAATTAAGGTACTATAGTAAGGAAACCTTATCATTCACTAGATACTCATAATATGGTAAGTTCCCAAACCCCCTAAAGGATCCAACAAATGGAACCCCACCAATATGAACCCATTACTACATTGGGGAAGCTAGGGGATGATTAGGGGGTTCCATTTTTTGGATCCTTAAGGGGTCTGG